TACTTCGAGAAATGGCCCCGGTACTTACAGATATGTCACGATCTATTTTAGCATTCTCAGCACCAGCAGTGGGATGAACTGAACTTAGCGACATAGACATCGGTGGTCTTGAGGTGGACTAAGGTGAACGGATTGCTGAAGGAACCCTGCTGCCCCTTTTGTGGTTTGGTGTTGGCGGAAAGCTACTTGAATCTTGTGTTACATTACAAGAGGACGGAGGGATATTGGGATAGATTGTATGTTTCCTTTATTGAATATGTGGGCCAAATTGTGTTGGGGGCGGATAGGAGTGAGGGTATGAGGTGGTGGCTGGGTAGCGAGGTGGAAAGACGCATTAATCCGGGGCAGCGCTAGTCGCTACAAGCGCCCGTGAGCCCACTTAAGTAGTATTTTCTGGATTTGTATTTGGGAGGAGTGGCTACAAGGTGAAATGGTCCGCGGTAGTGTATTTTAAATAGTTTGTTTTATGGGGCGCGGGGGAGACTAGTCGTATACCAGTGTTGGCAGTACTAGTATAAATAAAATTAGATTGAATTCCAAGTACTTTTCCTACTTATTACTATAACTAATATAAAACATCTTTATGTTCTTTATCATTATCAAGACCTTTATTATTGTTACGTCAAAGAGAAATCTTCACAAAGGAGAGTTAGAGAAAGCTTATGATAGGTATTCCCGATAGAAGACAGAGGTATTGTACTATCAGTAATGTAGGTATAGGCCTAGAGCTATCGTAAGACTAAGAAGCAGAAGAAGAGAAATATCGTTCCCCATCGCCAAGAACTAAAACATCTGAAGGGAGATTGTTACACATTTATACTTTTTTGTTGAAGTAATAGTTATAGCCTAAACTTCATACACTTTTCTCTCAAAGTATCGAGGTTGGCAAGCGTGCCCAATAACAGGTAGCTCACACTTATTACTTTCGGTTCTGTTAACACAAAAGTCATATGTCAGGTGTATTTTTTCTCCTTTTTGACCATTTATTTGCCGAAGAGTAAGACCTGCAGAGTGTGGCATTCAATAAAAGAGACCTGTTTCATCAAAATTGTATTGGTGTTCATCTGTGTAATCATCACAGGCCTCGTTAATTTAATCAATCAATTCTGTGTAGTCACTGAGATTGACAGAACTACCTTCTCCATAGAAGCAGAATCTGTGAAGTCCTGTTTGCATTTTGAACTTTTCTAGCCACCCATAGCTCCACTTTGGTCAATTCGCCTCCAGGATATGTTCAAGTTCACCAAATCATGTTACTTTTACTCGCATAGCTTCTTTGATAAGAATGATTCCTATAACACCACTTAGTTTTTTTTAAATAAAATGACCCTTGGAAAGAATATCTTGTCAGAATATACCTCTACCTTCACACTGTTGGACCCATAAGACAAGCATTGACTTGATCCGTGGTAACTTAACACTGCTTACCCTCCAGCGAGTAAGCTCTTTACTTATCATATTTGACTAGTATTTATACCCTTTTGTGATAATATTTGTAACTGTTTTACTAGCAACACTGTAGGCAATAGCAAGCAAGGCATTTGTTGGAGATTTTCTACTATTTGGTGGAAACTTTTCTTTATAAAGTTCAAACTTTATGAGGTTAGTGAGGTTTTTATGCTTTGTTCTTGCTCGCTTTTCGGATGTGAGCAAATGTTAAGTATGCTTTGTGGAAATTACTAATGTGTTCGGCATGCTGAAGAGGAAGGTATTTACTAATATGAATATCAGAAGAAAAATTATAGAAGGATCAAATTTGAAAGATGCTTTGTTTTCTGTTAGCTTTCTCACCAACTATTTATTTTCTAAAAACTGATCTAACTCTTCCACTTCTATAACCATGTCTCCAATCTTTCACGGAAAGTTGTGTTAGGCGGAGACAACTTGATAGACTTCAAGATTGTCTAGGCCAATCAAAATTCGTTTTTGTAGATGGAGATTGTCTAGGAAGGCTCGGACTTTACTCGTTTCGTTTATGACTACTAGGAGTGAAGTAAAATAGGTAAAGTAGGGTAGAATTGTAAAAACAATATTATATTGTTAAGGTCTCATCTCCGTTGCTTGATGATGTCTAAAGCTTGGAAGGCACTTCGATATTTATATTCCATGTCTGAGTATTTGCGGACTACATCTATTTATCATACAACTATGTACTTCTTCAATCTTAATTCGCGATGTTGAGTTTTCTTCCAAGGTGCGAACACCTGTGGACCCTGAAAACCATCACACCCTCTTCGGTAATTACAATATTTCTTCTTAGGAAACGTGCTGTCCCCAATAGTAATATCCCAGTTAGCAGAGTCTTTAGACTTATGGCCTAGTTCTTAAGTCGAACTGAGTTGGCCCCAATTGTCTTCACTCTTGATAAAATGATCAGTTTTATCCACGGCTATATCTGCAAAGGTGGTCATCATTATAACCATCGTAGGTCGTCTGACTTCGATCCTTTGCAACTCCATACCCAACCAATAGATTTTCTCTGGATGACTTCCTATTAACTCGCAGGAAGCTATTCCACCAGATTGGTAATTAATCCCTCGGTCGGCAACCCTTGGTTGCTCTCTGGGTAGTAGGTTTCAGTAACCATTGTAGTATTGCGAATCACCCCATAGCTACAACGTGTTCCGAAACCCAGTTATAACACTCCATGAAGTTTGTTGGCTTCTTTGATAGTGGCTTTTGGAGTTCTAGACTCTTCTGGTGGATGTAAATGTATTGGTCTCTAGTAGAGATCCTTTACCATTTGATACCATCTCTTTGTGCGAAATCGTCCCATTACTTACGGCCCAAGCCAAAGGTGTCATGTCTTTGAAGCCAAGTAACTCTCTGAGTAGTTGACAGAATCACTCTGTTCCACTTCCCAGACCTAGCCAAAGGTCCCCTCTCATATATGCTGTGAACAAAATCCGGTCGGACAGACAGCAACGATGTATATGGTGTTATTCTAACACCTTCAATTCTGTGATAATATAGTCACAGGACGCAACTGAGATTAATATCTATGATGATGCGTGGGCCCCATAAGGGAGCTGGAGGGGGGTGTTGGAGATCAGAGATTCCAATTCCGAGTGGGGTTACCCTACTTAGGGTGGTTCCTAGGTATCGGGTTCTGGTATTCCTAACAAGTTGTATGAAAAAACATTTCATGCAAACGAATTCTGGAATTTAGTGGCTTTTACTGCCTGGATAGAAAAACTAATAGAAGCTTAGAACTTAGAGAGGGAAAGCTCATAGAACAAATCTTGTCTCCTATGAGAAATAGAAATATCGGAGACCTGGAAACATTGGAGGGGTGGAGTCATCGGAGGTTTCACTGTATGGGTAAAATTTGTTTTTTGTTTGGCGAAACAAGAGATGCGGAAAGCCTCCACCTCCACAGCTATCACCACCACCACTACCACAACCACAACTAACCCCCTCCTCCTCCCCATCCATGGCAGCAAGGGGGATATCATAATATCATAAGTTCGCTGAATGGATGGATGAAGCGAGAAGGAAAGGGTAAGAAATGGAAGGGCTGGAGAGGAGAATCTGCCTCTAAATTAAGACCATTTCGCTAACATGACGCTAAAAGGATATCATACTGACATGCAAGCGGATCAAAGTCACTCTAACCTGCACGGTTTGATACCCGCTGTTCTGAAGCCCTTCGCCAAGTATAAACTCTGGGCAGCGGGCGAGGGAAGGAAGACTTCTGTTCAATCTTGAAACCTTCGTGGAATTCTCAATTCATTTTTACTTCCCCTTCTCACACTCTCCCGGACACAATTTAAACGCGATGGGGGAAAATAGCTTCTAACCCATGAATGGATGGTTAATGTTACATCTTCTCCCTTCTGCCTTTTCCCCCTTCTCCCTTCTCCCTTCTCCCCCGAATCCATCCACCTGTGTATGATAACTCTATAAATATAACTTTTTTTTTTTTTTTTTGTTGAATTTATTTTATTTTAATTGTTTTAACTTGAGTGCTGGTAATTGTATGATAAGTGTACTTGTACGAGTACCGGTAATGTAGAGTGCAAGTACCATGCGGCGGCGAACCGGTATGGGCTACCAGTGGAGGGTTCCCTCTCTTTTCTTTTCTTTCCCTTTCTTCACCCAGGTTTCTTTTTCCCCCGTTTTCCCCATTTGTCTCTCTCCCACCCCTTCCTTTTTCATTTCTTTTTCTTTTTTCCATCTTCCCTGCCTGCCTGCTTGCTTGCTTGCCTACCTGCCTTTGCCTCTCTCTCTCTTCGATCGAGCGAGAGCGAGGCATTGAGATGTTGCCGCACCGCAACTCCTTGTTCCGCTTTCGCGTAAATAAGAAAGGCATGACAAAAGTAGAGGCGCCGAGTTGCATGCATAAATTAACCCAGTTCCGATTTGGAGGGGGGTGGGATGGCGTGGGAAATTTGCATGATGCATGCAACTGGCAGGACTTGATCACTCAAATCAATAAACTTGAAGAACCTGCCGTATGAGAGGAGAGAGCTTCTGACAGGGAGAGGAGAGAGGTCAAGTGGATACGGCATGGCGCTCTGAGACCGGTAGTGGCAATTCGGGTCAAGTTAAAAGTGGAGGAAAGTGTAAGTTAGTAGAGTGTAGGGCAAGTGGGAATCAATCACCCAGTCAATCAAGATTGCCTTGCTCTGCTTGCACTTCCTGCCTCCTTGTTAGAATAACTATATTCGTTGAGGATTATGTACAATACAGCATCATACTGCATAGTAACGCTACCCAAAAAAATTCCACAGTCACTCACCTCTCTCTCTCCCTCTCTCTCTCCCCTTCTGCTTTCCTTCCCCCCACCCCCCCCCACCCCCCTCCGAAAAAAAAAAAGGGAAAAAAAAAGGAAAGAAGAAAAAAAAAAAAAAAGGGTCAAGAGAGAAAACTGCTAGTNNNNTTTAGTACTGTCATAAGGTAGGGTTCATACTAAGAGGAACGCTCCCAAACTTGAATTCGCCTATATAACCTAGCAGGCACTGCCCCCGGAACTTTTCTGCCCACACTCAGCCTTTCGCAACCTTCCACCCCTCCTCTCCCCTCCCCTTCCGCAACCTCATCATCATCACACACCCATACATATTCAACCCCACCAAAACCTGACCTGACCTTACCTTACCACCCCTTACCCTACCCTAATTTTTTTTTAAAAAAAAACTCTTCATCGTTGAAAAGAAGGAAAAGGAAAGAAAAAATAAAAAAAAGAAAGGAAGAAAGAAAGGAAGAAAGGAAGGGAGGAATTGAGGACAAGAAAATTATTTCCCAGCTTCTTCCCCATATCAGAGCTTTTTTCTTTTTTTTCCCCTCCTATACTCCTTATACGACTATCAATCATGAAGGTCGAGGAACCGGAGCAGGGAAGCGCTTCCCCGGAAAATGCATCGTCCGTGTCGAGCTCCAAGAAGCGAAAACATGAAGAGGCGACTCTCGAGGAGAAGCACCAATTGTTCCTACATTCGACTAGGAATCCACATCTTAAGCAGGTTCGTAAACACACATCCACATGCACAAAAGCCCACAATCATCAATCCCCCCCCAATTCTTAATTCCCCCCGATCCCCCCCTACTCCTCCCTTACACCTTGCCTCTTCTCAAAAGAACACCAAAATGAAAGAGCGGGGGAAGGAGGAAGATTGATCAAAGTCATAAATGATTGAATGATTGAATCAAGAAATCGAACGAGAAAAAAAACAAAAACAAAGCAAAAGCACCTCCTTTTATTTCCTTTTTTCTAAATTATTTTTCGTTCACAGAGAGAGCTCGCCGAGTGGTTCGAGCTGACCTTCCAAAAAGCTATCAACCAATCTACAGTTTCGCGAAACTTGAAGAAATTCAAGGCCAGCCTTGCACTGACAGAAGACCCAACAACCGGTAGCAACAACCAAAACGGCTCCCCCGCGACCCCCACGCCATCGAAGAAGCAGCAAAAGCAGCAAAAGCAAGAACAGGTCAAGGAGAAGGAACAGGGAAAACAGCAGCAGCAGCAGAAGCAGCAGCAGGCGGAGGAGAAGAAGGTAGACGAAGCGAAAAAGTCCCCAACACAAATTAGTGTTCCAATCCGCCCGCCCCCACCGCCACCTACACCACCGGTGAAGCGTGGAGACGAGGAGGTAGCTAGCTCTGTGGAATTAGACAAGGCCTTGCACGAATGGTACTCCGGACAGTCCGACAAGTCCAACTTGAATGATGGCCCAATAAGGGCGAAGGCGGAAGAGATCAATTCGCAGCTATACCCCGACGAGAAGACCCGGAAGCAGATTACCAATGCCTGGATTTGCTCCTGGAAGCTCAAGTACGCCATCATCCAGCCAGGCACGCCCGTCAGTCCAAAGATTGAGAGTCGGCGGGGAGCGGGAGCGGGAGCGGGAGCGGAGGGAGACAAAGATAGAGATGAGGATGAGGAGATGAAATCAGAGGGAGATAGCGTCAGCAGCACCGCTTCTACCCCCCCGCCCAGGGCAGGCGAGTCGGAGGAGAAGAGAAGACGGAAGGAGATCAAGAGGCTGAGGAAGGATATTGAGAAAAGGGACATTCAGATGGCGAAGGCGAAGATAAGGAAGGAAGCATCGCTCCGGAGAATCGAGGAGCTAGAGAGGGAAAATGCGGCGGCGAGATGATGGGATTAACATTTTCTTTTCCTCTCCTCTTGATTCTCTTTTCATTCAATCGGCACACGCTTTATTCCATCATACCTTTCTTCGGTCATCTTTTCATTTCATTTCACCACTTTTCAGTCGATGCAATGATATCATATTATCTATTTGTCTGGGAGGGGAATACTTTGTACAATAGGGTAAAAAAGGCGCAAACGACGGACGGGGGTTCTTTTCTTTTCACGTTTTTCCTCTTCTAACGTTCATATTTGTTTTACTCTTTTTTGCTTCCTCTCTCCTTTCCTTTTTTTTTTTTTTTTTCCCCTTGTTTAGTTTTTTTTTTCTCATCACTTTTTTGTTTTTTTTTGTTTTTTTCACCTCTTCTTTTTGCTCGCGTTTATTTGCTTTTTTTCACTCTATTATTTCTTTCCTTCCCTAGTATCAGTATCAGTATCAGTATCAATTACCAGTTTCCTGCTTGCCTTCTTTTCCGTGAACCGTGTCATATCATGATCCATCACGCACAATAATCTATTGACCCACCATGCCAGAATGCCGACCCGTTCCGTCCACCTTCACATGAACAGGACTACCGATACCGTAAATAAATAAATCAAAAAACTGAAACGCGAGTGAGAACCAATGACCTCCTTTCCAATCCACAAATAGCATCAAGAATCAATGCGTCCTGGCATAACTTAACCGGCACATACAACTCCGCTCCTCCGCACCAGTACGGCACCGGTACGGTAAACCACTTGTATCAAACTCAAGAAATACTTTTTGCCAGGCATGCATATCGTATCATACTCGGGCATGAACCTGGATGATCATCGAACAACTTGGTGGTTGGGGGAGGGGGGGGGGGTAACCAAATCTCCCTGTTCATTTGAACAATCAATCACCCTTTCCCCCCTCCCCCTAATACCAAATTCATTCTCTCATTTATTTATTTATTTTTCTTTCTTTTCTTTCCTTCCCATAAGGTCAGGCAGTAGAATGGTAAAAGAAGGTTAGTTACCGGTAAGTTAGGTCTCTAGAATCCATCCCCCGGAGTTATGTGTACTTGTACTTGTACGTGTGTCCGATCACCCACCACTCCACGTCCATCCATCCACCCATCCAGCAAACGGTAAACCTGTGATACCCACCTACAAATATACCGGTTATGCCATGCACGAAGCAAGCAAGCAAGCCAGTATAGGTGGATTTTTTTTTTTTTTTTTCTTTCCACCCTTTCATACCACGGCAGGCAAGCAAGCACGCAGAAAAAGGTATAATACAATATAATACCACAGTCAGCCAAGGATTGAGCAATTTCCACGAGGAACTACTGTACTGTACTGTACGTTTCCTTTTATTTCCCAGCTTACGCGATGCGACCAAGTGCGACTTGTTCAGAAGGCAAGAATGGCGAATTCCCTAGTCGAATGGTGGATCTTCATCAGTTTGCTTGATATGATACTTGTAAGGGGGGATCGGTTGGTTACGGTAGGGAAAATTAATCGTGGACTTTGGTTATTGTTTTTTTTTTTTTTTTTTTTGAGTGGGCCCTTGTCGATTGGCGGTTAATATGCGGGGTTGGGGAGGGAAAAGGTGAACGGGCGGTTAACTATCATTTACTCGTACTGGAACCTGTTGTGATATGATATGGTGGACGGACTAAAACCGATCAACCTGCGTTTACTCGAGCATGATACAAGTTACGAGTGGGTACCGAGAGACGCGAGAAAGTTGGTGGGTGCTTTCCTTTTTTAATTACTATTATCATATTATTATTAGTTTGTTTCCCTATCGTAAATAGTCGCTGTATGGTTTACCGCTAGAAATGGCGGGGGCGTCGGTTTAATGTGTGGGGAAAGGTTGTATGTCCGTTTAAGCTGTTGGGTTGTGAGCACTTGAGGAGGGAGAGAGGGAGCGGAGGGTTGGGATATTCGAGTGATTTGGTATGTAGAGTACAGTACTATACTTGTTTTTTTTTTTTTTTTTTTCGTGACGAGCAGTATCCCACCCAACATTGGACACACCCAGGCTTTGTATACGCGTAGACGATTTGAAATGAATAAATGAATAAATAGATGGATAGATTTGTTTTTAATTCCTGTGTTCCAGCAGTACTCGCTGCCTGAGATATTTTCGTACGGGACGAGAAAGTATTTTTCGGGTTTATCATAGCATAAATTGACTAACTTTATCGTGGTTTCCTGTTTACACCACCTTGTCTCGGCGGAAGAAGGTGCCATGAGAGAAGCAACAGGCAACAAGATGACTAATCGAGACCTTTTCCATTTTGTCGTTGGGAGAAAGCGACACACAACTCACAACGGAATGAGGGCATCGGGTTCAAAAGATTTTTTCCTCACAGACCCCCCCCCCACTCTGTTCTCCGCGAGAAAGAAAACAAAAGTCGGGCAAAGCAACGGATAAGATATCATACCGTGTCGTACTTCACTCACTTACTCATCCAATTCCATAATCCACCAATTTCTCCGCCAGTCGGTTTAACCGTCCCCCACTCGACCAATTCCTACTTCACTCACTCACAAGTAACTCAACTCAACTCAACTCAACCCCTTACCGACCTGCCGATAGATTCCTGAAACACCATGACCGCTTCAACAACTCAGCTCGTCAAACGTAAACCAGAGTCTGAAGGTCTTTTGAACGAAAAAGTTCCTTCTCCCCCCCCCCACTCGGTTTCTATCCCTTCTTTTTACTAACTAACTAACGTGTACTGCAACAAGTGGGACCATTGCCTTGCAAACCTCCTCGTAAAGTCCACCCTCGGCGCTGGCTTCGGCATCATATTTTCTGTCCTGCTGTTCAGGCGTCGTGCATGGCCGGCGTGGGTCGGTGTCGGCTTCGGTGCTGGTAGGGGTTATGCTGAGTGTGATCGGGAGTTTAAAGGTGCGGCAGGGGGCGTGTCGAGGGCTGTTGGGGAGAGGCTGAAGAGGGATTGATGGGGAGGGGGGTTTTTTTTTTGTGCAAAAGCTTCGGTAATAGACTTTGGGAGGGGGGTGGGAATTGATTGTTGGTTGTTGGTGGGGGGAGGGGGGGGCCGTTCACCGCTCTTTCTCCTTACTCTTGCATAATTGATTTGGTTTGATATTTACGGTGTGTTTGTTTGTCCTTGTAGTGCGCATGTGTGTGTGTGTGTGTATTGCGGTGTATTATGCGAGGGATACCTCTCTTCGTCTCTTTATACGTCTAATCATCTACATTACAGCAAAGTATAGCTATCAACCGCGTTTAAATGTACAAGAACATTCCGAAAATTCCCCCAACAACGGCCACGGTCAACCCCCCGATGCTCATGCTACGCCCACCTCCAGAGGATATGGCTCCCGTAGGAATAGGTTTTCCTCCTCCCGTCACAGTCGCATTTCCTCCACTTCCGCTTCCGCCGGATCCAGGCTTGGTGGAGTTACCCCCAGTGCACGGTGTCTGGGCTGGGTTGATCGCACTTCCAGGCTGCCAGAGTAGGATCCTTTCGAGCCTGTCGGCGAATGTTTCGTTACTGATCTTGAGATTCACCCAATTCTGCGGTGCGACGGGGGCGACGTTGTCTCTCCAGATGGCGGTTCCGTTGGGCATGAAGAAGACGCTTCCGCCGGTTTTGTTGTAGACATACACGTCATCGAGCCCCCTGACGGCGTAGTATATGGCCGTGGCTATTTATCCATAAGCAATCGTACGAATGTGAAGGAGTGTGGATGGAAAACTCACGATCCCAAGATTGATGCGTCTTGTTATAACCAATTGTTATATTGAATGCCCACGCAACGGGATTCTTCTGCAAATCCACCTCCGTGGTCAATCTTTTTCCCCACCTCACCGAGCTGCCAATGAACCCGGGCACGAACGTCAACTTTGTAGGCCATTGATTCAGAACGTGTGTTGGATAGAGAGGATTATGTCTGACAATGTTAAAGCTAGTCCCTGTAGCCGCTGCCTGGACAACGAGTTCGGTAACCTTCCGTTTGATCAATTCAAGTCCGGTCAATGGGGAAATGGCATCGGGTTTTGAGTCGACAAGCAAGTACAGGGCATCAAAGAAGCCAATTGCAGTGATGGTGACGCTGTTGTCCGGAGCTTTGGACAGGAGCGTGCGGTAGAGGGTTAGAGGATCAGTGGTGTTTTCACCATCGTTGGTGTCCTCTGGGAAGCGTTGACTTAGCTGATCAACGTAGGCAGGATATTCAGTGTAGAGGGGGTCCTGGGTCTTTGAAATGTTAGTGGCGTATATGTGCTAAGGGGGTTGTAAGGGGGTATTATATACAGAGTTGTCCACGGGCTTACTTATCGCAAGCGGGATATCAGGGTGTCCATAGAAGGTGTTGATTGCGTCAATTGCTGGCGGGGCATAGCGACTGCGAATGTCTATCAATCATAGCTATCAGCACCATCCCAATCCTATCAGATTATGGTTTTTACCCAGACATACCAGAAATGATGCCCAACAGCTCAATCTCCCCCCAGGACATGAACGCGTTCGCAATGCCAACAGCGTTCGGATCGTCCGACTTTTTCCTTCCGGTAAAGAATTAGCAGCAATTGGAGAACCAAGTAAGGGGGAGTACTCACGAAATTGTAAAAATCCGTATCAATAATAACCCTCTTCCTCACACAGGTACCCCCAGCAGCAGAAACCAGACCAACGAACGTGGCCGCCGCAGAAGCAGCCTTGAGCAATACGGATCCCTTCATCTTCTCTCTCTCTCTCTCTCTCTCTCTCTTGTCCTTCTTAACGCATATATATATCCGGTAACCCCTCTCGTAGAATTGGTCCCGCGCTGAAGGATAATAATAACAAAAAAAGAGAACCATCTATCCAGCCTTTATGTACACACTTGGTGTTCCACCTCCGGCGCGAACACCTCACGCACACGCAGCACGTGCCCGTGCGTTATAGGGAAGGTTTCCCGCCATCACCATTGTCATCATCACCATTGTCATGGTTGGAGTGTATGATACTGTAAGCCGGCGGGCAGCGGTGTATCGGGGAACACAACTGGAAGTTGTCGCTGAAGTAGGTGGGGATACCGGGGGGTGGCTCAACCGATCGGCGGGGTCGTGCTTGTGCAGGTAGGCCAACTGCACAACCACAATGGTGGATTCTCGGGCATTTGCAGAGGGATGGTTTGTGATTCTTTGTCTTAGACTGCCGTCAGCCGTGAATGGGTGAAGAGTGGTGCAACGCTGCGATGGGAGTTTTAGCAGAGATGGTTGGGACAGTGCTAGTGCTGGAGTAGAGGTATAATAGTTCCGCACTGTTACGGTACTCCACCCGATTGAGTGCTGTACGAGTACAGTATGGGTACGGTAGGTTTGACGTCCGTACGAGCGAGTATCGAAAGAAATCGAATACCAGGGCCAAATGCTGGGACGTCGGAGATGCCTCTCCTAGTGGGGTCTACCGGTAGTGTTTCTTTTTTCTTTGTCTCGGAGAGAGCAAGTGTTTTGGTATGATATGTTTCTCGCCCCGCCCACCCCCTCTCCAGAGGAGGAAATTTTAGACCATGATACTGTACAGTACTGTATGATGCACCATAAACAAACACACGAGTGACCCCCGTGAGTTCAACAAATAGGAGAACGAAAAGATGGGGGCAAAAATAAAATAAAAATAAAAATAAAAATAAAAAACACGGTGGCGCTTCAACCACCCCTCGTTTCCCTCCCTTCCGAGATCGTGGGGTTTCGGATATCGCAGGGTTAGACGTACTCTACGTACTTGTACTTGTACGAGTACTGTTATCGACGAGGTGCTTCTTGCGGGAATTTTTTTTTTTTTTCCCGGTGGGGGAAGTGGTTGGGATCTAGACTCAAGTACCGATATACTGTACCGACATGCATTGAAAAAGAACAGCTGAAGAGAGGTTTGTCTTTTTTTTCTTTCTTTCCTTCACTAAATGCGGCTTACCGGTGTTTTGGTATGTGTATGCGATGTGCCTAGGGCAATTCATTGCTTACGCCCTTGTCTACTGATACTTGTACCATAGGGACATTTTTTTTTTTTTTTTTTTTGCGGTTCTAGTCCTGGCTAGGGGATTTACTGTATTTACGGTAGATTTTGAGCTTGACTACTGTGCTTGTATGATATTTCGGATCGCGCTGATCTGGTGTGGAGATCGGGGGTTGGGTTTTTTGTCGATTGTTTGGTTTGTGAGATGGGTGGTTCTGGAAGGAGGTTGATGCGTTGGGAGCGGCGGCGGCGGCGGCGGCGGTGAGAGATCGTTGCCTTCTTTTCCCCCTTTTTTTTTCTTCTTCTTCTTCTTTTTTTTTTGCTGCGGCGCTGTAGTTAGAGTTCTGTTTCTAGATCTCTAATTGTTATGGTCTCATTATTATCATATTATTATTATCATTATTATTTACTTACCCCTTCTCCCATAAACGTGGATCTGGGATATCAATTAACTTATCAGGAAACTTCAACCTTCAGCAATTTCGCAAGAGCTGTGTGGTGTACTGTACTATAAAAGTATCTCCGAATAGTAAGGTTGATGGAACGTTACCAGTCTCTCAGCTGGAAAGTGGAAGTGCTGAAATTAGCTTTTAAAGTGCTCAATTGAGTCTGCAGTTCGAGCTGATTTGCAGTGCTGACAGTCCACGGACAGAGCACCACTGTCCAATATAATCATCTAGTCGACCGCTCGTCAAGACAGATATTATCCTCTTACACATGACGTACAAGAACGGGTCCCCAATAGGTTACTTATTGCTCAACTACGGCAGTTGTCAAACACAATTTATACCCAATAGCCCTACAATCCTCCTCATTGTATCCGGCAACCTGGCCAAAGCCCAAGCATGCATCATACCGAAACAGTATATGATATCTCGTGGCGTACAGTACCAATTTACGAGTAGTTCACAAAGCATCACGGGCAGTCAGAAAAATAAATAAATAAATAAAATCATACCATCAGCATGGGTCCAACCACGGCATTGAATTATCTCTCAGTAAATGCTGCATGCATAATCGCAGCGGGTCGGGCTACGGTACTGTACCATATGCGCTCGATCGATTCAAGCGCTGGTGGTCACAGCTAGCTAGCCTACACAAGTATATGCCTGCAACGGTGCTCCCAGACACCGTTTGGTGAATTGAGATGATTGCTGCGAAAAGCGAGTTTTGTGGTGACGCTTTCGCCGGTGGGTCGTTCAGGTGTGGCGTTTTCGATAGGCAGTCAGTCGGATGGGCAGGGGGCGTATTAGAGTGGCTCGGGGGGTTGGCAGTGGGGAAGGGGGGTAAGGAGGATATCAAGCATCCCAACCAGTGAGAGTGCGGGACAGTTGCAGGGGCTGACCAGGTCGAGTGAGGCTGGGTGATGCCGCTCGGTGCCGATTATGGTATCATACGTAGGAGTAATCTTTGTTTGAAAATATAGTGAGGGGTACTAGTATCTTCCACTGTATCATCCTAGCTGACCTGATGACACCGCTTCTAGTATGGTAACTTGCGTAGTAAGGTAGCAGGTGTTGGCTGCGCTGTGCCACCGCTGTAACATTAATACACTCTCCCCTTAGGGATTTTATGGTTGTAATACAGTGGTGCTTCTACAAGGACAAGCTTATCCCTTGTTTTTCATATACCTAGTCGGTCTCGATGCGCCCCCTGCCCCGCCCTGCAAATAATCGCATTGCTGAGTATGATAGCTCTCTGGGAAATAGCGAAGCTTCGGTTGCTCGCCCACGTTGCGATGCAATCGGGTCTTTTGGAATTGCCTTCACCAAAGGGAGCGGGTGGAGGCCCTGGGCGGGTGACAGATGTTTACGGCTAGCTTTCTGGGGTTGCCGCCCAGTGCCGCCGATCCTTTGGGTGGAATTTTATTATCGGCATCTCTCTTTAAAACTTGTGGCTCGAGATTGACCGAATTAGATACTCCTTAGATTGGAGCCCCTCTTTTTAATCACCGGAGAACCTCCATCTCTCTGGAAACAGAGTTTCCGGCACTTGCGTAGGTTTAATCTTGCTTCCGTCACCATCCCGGTGAGAGCAATCAGCCGAGCTTGAATAGTCTGTAGGGAGCCGGAGGCCCCTCTTTCACTAATGGCATAGCTGTATGTCTGTAGATCCTGTGCGTTCCCTCGAGTAAGGTAGGCTAAATGCAGAGCTGTTCATCGGTCTTCACTCCACAATATAAGCATGAGATCCACCATTCGGGAGGAACACCGTCAGAAGCAGCTCGCATTTATATGCTGGGGTAGGAGAGATGGAACAAGATTCCCAATCACATCCTGCCCAACTAGCATCACTTGCGAAACAACCCTCCGACGCGGTCGAACAATATGGATTCTGCTAATGCATAATCCACAACCCCGTCCCATCCCACGGACAATAAGGACCGCGCTCCTCCGCCTATTCCCAGCTAAACTTGGAAGCATTAAGCACCCCGCGAAGATCCACGATACAAACACCGACGCCCCCCGCCTGATCACCCAGTGAATGCATTATTAAAGTTACCCCTTGCTACACTTCTATCCGATCGAGTGAGCCAACATGATCAGCAGGGAACAGGTGGGTGCCAAGATGTATTCCGCTTCCTTAATATTCCACTGGGAACACATTCCGCTGGTTGGCGAGCTAAACGGCTGATAGGATAGTGCTGCTATATATATGCCGAGGCGGGGCTGGGATTAAACCCCTATTGCAAGAATTAAGCTTTTCCAGTTCGGAAATTTCCCCAACATTGGATGGAGATGTTTGTAGAGTTCACTCGAGATTGTTGGAGGGTGGTATGCTCGGGAAAGAAAGCTCAGTAGAACCTTTCCTATCCCTGCCCGAGGGACGGGATACCTTGCGTTGCCCGGAACATACGGCAGTCGGGAGGGGATTCCGGTGGCTGGGGTAACAAATAATTGATGCAGCGGGGGTGCCTTGGGTAGCTGGAGATAGTGAATAGCGATGCGGGTAAAGAAAGAGAAGAAGAAAAAGGTATATAAACATTGGGATCTGGACAAAGTTGTGAAAAAAAAGAACTAGCGGTATGCTATTGGGCGAAGTCACTAACTTAGCTGACTTCCTCCATGTTTGTCATGGCTGTATGATAGCAACTTTGGCCAAAGCTACTAGCAGAACGACTCCAACCCACGATCCACAGCGGCACAACGGGCACAAAAAGTTACACTTCCAACACCTCTACCACCACACAAGGCGCCTTGACGCGGTGAACACGAGGGGTAGTGGGGGTGGGCACTCGCGTTGAGTGCACAAATGGATAAGCGGGGTCATTATGAAGTCAAACTCGTTGGATAGGAAGGCAAAGTTATTCTTTCCTCCCTTCTTTGCTCCCCGTATAGCGAGTTCATCCCCGGAAAATGTATCCTACCGGAACGATCGATACCCGCGTTGAGGGATCGCCGGTGGACGAGACCCGTAGAGCAAGCAAGTAATGTAACATACCCAAACGTTCGGGACCAAGTTCATCGGATGTCGCAGATAAGTTAACCTCCGCCATACAAATTCTTGCCCTCCGTTTTCGGGCTCACTGTACCCGGGTGCGTGTGCCGGTATGATGCGTTTTCAGGCGGCCGAGTCGAAGCTGGACACTCCGGGGCTTGGATCCACAGCCAACCGGAGGCCAGAGATATTGGGGGAATCCTGTCATCCGGTTGGCCAACTGATCAATTCCCGTTTCTGGCCTCCGGCTTCGGATCGGCCGCGCGAGTATTTACTCGTACTCGTACAGTGGTAGACTAGGTCGCCCCATAGCGCCTCTCACCGGTGGTCGATCTCGCTGACTGGGGTGCGTGGAGTTCTGCGGATACCAACACTGAGCACGTTCGCTCGTACTACCGGGGATTCGGGAGCACCGGTGCCGGTGCGAGTAGTACTGTACACGGGTAAAACATATCCATCTCACCCCATGAATCGTTAACCAACAATGTATAACGGGAAAGATTTGCCGGATTCTTGGGCGCTGCTGAGCCAATCGCTACATTACGGTACTTGGAAGTGGTTATACTGGTTGGATTGATACAAGCCAAGTTTATCTATGATTATAAAATCTATATATACAGCACTAAGGAGAGAATAAAAAGAAAGAAAACCTACAACTTACAGGTGATAACCCTATTATGAAAATCTAATAAAAGAATTTTTGGGGAAAGAAGGGAAAATGATGGTAAGATAAAACCCCCATAACCTAATCCCAATCAACAGCCATCTCCTCCGGTGACCTGGGCACCGTCCGCTCCCATTCCTTCATATCAGCTATCGTGATGGCGGGTGAGTCCGAGGGTGCTTCTAAATGGGATAGCGTTAATTTCGTCAAGGCCAAACTCTGGTGTAATCTCTCGAATACCCGTCCCCAAACCCAATGCGTGCCATTCTCCGCCCTCCCCAAAAGGCGAAACCCCTTCAACGTCAACTCCCTCAAAGTGCTACTGTGCAACTCCAAAAACGCAATAAAATCCTCGGGCTCGACGGCAGTATTAGCCTCCAACTCTAAAACCCGCAAACCCGGCCAGAGGAAACCCAGGTCCTTATCCACCAGATCCATCCTCTGCCGATTAGAATTCCCTAGCCTGACAACCTCCAGATTCCGCCCGGACCGCAGGAAGGCCTTTAGCGCTGTGTGCCCCGGGCGATGGAAGGCCTCGTTGCCGAGAGAGATGGCGGGGACGGACAGCTCCTTCAGCTCGCCGAGCACCTCGTACACCTGCGCCATCTTAGACATAGGCACGCCGTGTAGCATGCCATCGTACACCGCGTCGATGTGCAGCCGCTCGACAGGATAATCGCACTTATTCAGCGCCTTTATGACGGCCCACCAGGCGCGCTCCGTAGTGTCCTCGTATGCCCGGGGTGAGTCGGTGACCGAGCGGAAGTGCGAGATGGTCACGGAGCACAAGTTTCGGAAGAGCGGTAGGGCCTTGCTGAGTGAGAGGACATCGTAGAAGGTCCCTAGGATGTCCTCCTGATGCAGGTACTCCTCGTGCTGCCGGACGAGGCTCTCGGCCATAGCGTCTAGGGTTAGGTCCCTCGTGGGGTAGTTTTTTTCTAGACATATCAGGTTGTCGACGGCGTGCATGCTCGCTTTGCCAACCACCCATCCATCAATCAGCATTTTCTTATGCGAAGCAGCAGTAGTATCAGTAGCAGTGTGTGTGTGTATGTGTGTGTGTCTGATGTGTAATACGTACGTCGATAGACCGGCGGGTGAACAAGGTACTCATAATCCTCCACGTACTGCGAGACCCCGCTCTGCGAGAGGTTCACCAGTCGATCGAAGGCGTCTTTGGTGAACGCCCCCGTGCGGATCCGGCGGAAGCAGCCCGGGGTCAGAACGTCCTTGAATGCGTGGCAGACTAACCTGTCCGAGGGGTTCGGTGGTAGATTGAGGAGGATTTTGGTGAGGATTTCGAGGGGGAGGGAGTCCATTGTTTAGCACCAGCCTACTACTCTACACATGCGTGCTGTTGTTGTTGTGTGTAGGTCTTGGGTTGAGTGAGTTTGAGTTTGAGGAATGGTTGTTGGTGGTAGTAGGGCTCCGGGATGGAGGTGGGAGACAGATGGAGGTCATGATCCCCTGATAACTGAAATGGAGAACTTTTTTCTTTTTTTTTCTTTTTTCGCTTTCTTTTTTCCAACAAAGGAATAGGCCTGGTGCCGGGGACAGGCACAGACAGAGACCGACAGAGGCTGATAGACAGCAGCGGTGGGAGGAGGAGGAACCAGTTTTTTGGCTGGCTAGGTTGGTGAGGTGTGTGTGGGTAGGGTAGAAACAAACAACCTGAACCCAGTGCGCATACAGTATGTAAGCACAAGTACAGTACTCGTATGATACTCAGTATGATACAGCAAGTATTAAAATGCTCAGGCCCTCGTTATCATAATAATAATAATAATAATAATTTTATATTTTTATTTCACTTTTTCTTTCTTTTACAGTGCAAATAACCCTTTCCTTATTGCCTTCCTTCCCTTCCTTGCGAATGCATCGTCGATTGTGGAATGGGAGTCCCGGACCCCCGGAGACTACTGAATCCAGTTCGTTCGGCGAGAGGTTGCAATTAAGTTAAGCCGAACTTATCCCCTCGTGCCTCCGGAGCTTGCCGTTGGGTGTAGCACACGGGCCTACAAGGTGCGCTCTGCTTGAACTGGCGCTCCAGTCCAAGAAATGATGCGAGGTATTAGAGTACTCGTGCAGTACGAGTACTCGAGTAGGTGTGCTGTTATTGGAAAGAATTGCAGTGATACATCTATTTCATCGACCGTTACTGTTTATTTGGTCCCGTTCCCCCGCCCAGGTGACGGTAACGGTATTGTGATACCCAAAGAATTATGATATTATAAGATAATGGATTAATCGGTGCTTGTGCAATCTGAAAGGTAAGACAAGCATTATGGCACAGTACTGTACGAGTACTGTACAGTGCCGGTATTGCCACAATAGCGTGTGATCGATTCTCGGATCCAAGAGATACAGAACCCGTAACGGGCGAGGGGGGTGAAAGAAAAGAAAAGGAGCAAGATAAAAAAATAAAAGTGAAAACAAAAAACTATTTGCCTCCGGGAATGCTATACCCCCTGCTCATAAAGTCGCTCTTTCCCAATTTTGTATTTTCTTCCTTGGAGAATAGACTCTTGAGGTTATCACTCATCTCGACCTTCCTCCGCTTCTTATTTACTCTCTCGTCCCCGAGAACCTTGCTTGTGAGGCCTGCAGCAAGAGTGTTCTTGATGCTACCAGTGCTGCTGTTACTATTGCCACCGCTACCACTGCCACCGGCAGCGGTACCCGCCGTCGCCGCTGGAGCTGCCGGGACTGCCGGGTCAATCGCATTACCACCCGTTTTGGTATCACCGTTCTTCCCGGTCTTATCCTTCTTCCGCTTCCTGGTCTTACCAGCAGACTTAAGCGCATGCGTAAGCCCCTTCTCGACCAACTTCTCCATCCGGGTCTTGAGCTGCTGAAGGTCCTCTGGAGCGGTAGGGTTTATTGAGACGATGTTATCACCGGTGTACGCTTCATCGCACTAAGCGCCCAACCAACAAACATATTAACACCTTCATGAGTATTATTGCTATTGCGGTGTGCGTTATGGAGGGGTGGGGCGTAAACAAACCTTCAAGCAAACCCCCTCCCCAACCTCCTTCACCGCGCTCTCGGAGAAAGCGTGGCCGCACGGAACCAGGTAGACAGCCTTCGTTCCGGGCCCCAACTCCTTCCTAGAAACCGGACATATTCGCCCTTCCTCAAACTTGACCTCGACAACGTCCTTCAGAGAGTGTATCCGCCCCTCCAGCACCTCCTCACCGTCACCGAACGCTTCCACACCCTTCAGCAGCCATTCTATTATCGAGTCCTTGTTGTACAGCACCCCGGCCGAGTCAGATACTATCGGCTCCGAGAGTGGTCGCTTGGAGAGCGGACAAGTGGTCCAGTGGTATGTTTGTGTCTGAGCGTTTGTGTCTCGCAGTTGCGAGTGGGTCTTTTGCTTTGTGGGCGATTTGACGAGCTCTCGTCGGGTGGGAATGCTATTAGGTGTTAGCGGTGAATCCGACAGAAAGGGAGGGGGGGGGGGTAGGAAGATTGGGAGATTGGGAAAGGGATTAAATTACCTGCCGCCGTCATTACCCATTTTGGGAAATTGGCTAGTGCAAAGAAGAATAAAAGGTAGAAGGGTGCGGTAGTTGAGGGTGGGGTTCGTGCTTCTTTTGCTTTGGTAATGGCGATAGTAGAGAGTGAGGCCGTATCGCGCGAAACGGTAGAGTACAGTATGTACTGTATGGGTATGTTGATACGTGAGTCTAGAGCGCCGAAAGAATTATATGGATCCGCCTGAGGACTCCGCGTTGTGGCCGGGTAACCCTTTTTCAGTCCCCCATCCGGGCTATCATAATTATTATATAAATACATAATAATATTATGATTATCGTATTAAATTTGTGACGCCCGGGCTTTTTCCCCGGGAGATTCACGGACAATCACGCTTATTCCGATGGCCGACCTTTACCCGTTCGGAGCTCTACGGGCACGGTACGAGTGCAATAGAGTTTAATTGCGATTAATTGGTCCTCAATACTGAGAATGTAGAAAAAAGCGATCGAGCATAGTTACAAGTACAGTACTGTAATCATTGAACGCTTTTCGAGTACTGTACCAGTACTTTTAATTTGTAACATGATAAGTTACCAATAATCTCTACTCCCTGTTCTCTCTTGGCCCCTAGTGAGAATGGCGAACTGGGTATGCTTTAAATGCTGGAGCCTGAGGTATCAACGAAACAAGGGAATTCAATAAAAAGTCTAGGTTATAGATTGGTTCACAGTCTCTTAATTATCCGGGAACCTGTTTCTCAAGCTTCTGTAATAAATAGGGCGCCCTAAGAGGAGGTGGATTTAGTTGTCAAAGTCTCTTGTCTGGTTGTTTTTGATTGCATCGTTCCGCATGTGTGTGGGCTTTCAATCTCACTATGGTGGGGGTATGCTGCTCATATCCTCGCGGTATTCCAGCTCGCATCGGCCGAGTATCATATCTGATGCCTGTTTAGCTTAGCAACAGAAACGCAATCCTCCCCACCAAGCCAAGAACACACAACCCCATCCATCTCAGCATCACCAACCCTACCTTTCTGTGTCCCCATACACAATCAATCAACCCCCCATGACTTCTTCCGCCTCGCCCCCAACCATCCCCAAAACCCGACACTTCGGTTCGAGTGACAACCCATGACACCCACCTAGTTGCCCCACCAACTCACTTGTTCACTCACTCACCCACAACCCACCCCCACCCAACAATCCGGTTCGCCCGCTCCCCTCCACGAAAGGGAAGCGCTTTCCAACAGAAAAAAACAAACAAACAGGACAGACTCAGCAGTGGGTATGGAAAACGGTACCGGTAATGATCTAGTACTCGAGTACAATTCAGGCGTTCGCCAGTCGAGAGAGAGGCGTTCTGGGCGTTCCGCCGGTTTGGTTGAGAACGGCATGTGTGAGTACCAGCGTGGTATCGCAATCAAATATCAGCTCGTGGGATGGCCTGTTAGGGGGAGAGGGTGTCAGGTGTCAGGTGTCTGGTTGTATGATATTTACCACGGCCCCGGTAGGAGGGAAGGGTGATCAGGTGAGGGGTTCGCATACGGTGTTTTATTTAAACATGGCAGAGCTGGTCGAGTGAGTAGGTGGGCAAGTGGGTAAGTAAGTTATCTAAGAGGTCAACCGGACCCCCCCCCCGTACACTACATACTCCACTACATACTCGTAGATAGGTGAAAAGGGGAAGAAAAAAAGGAAAAAGAGAAATAAAACGCGCATACTAGGATTAAGGAGTCCGAAGATCGTGGGATGTGATAGACTAATTGAGCTAAGCGTACGCTGTCCACTGTATCCGGGTTTCCCTCCCTTCCCTGGATGCTTGGTGGCTGATAATCGGCACTTGTACGGGGAATGCGGTCGTTAAAATCTGTGGCCTTGGTGATGCGCAGTTATCACGTTCGATGAGAAAGTGATCTGGAAATTGTGTGTGAAGTACGACATACAACACCCCGGAAACTGGGCCAATTATTTAGCATGTGTTTCTCACAGGGCTGCAGAGACTCTCGGATTCGCCATCGCTCATAAACTACCTGACTACCTACTCTGCGAAATTGTGGGAAGGTTAGTGTTGGTCGACATCAAAGGTACCTATTGCGCTTTCCGCGTTTCGTGATATGGGTTGTGCTGTCTCGGTAGACACAATTTCCGACCATTATCATCTAAAGATCTCAGGGCCTTCTGTATTTTGGGGGCCACTGTGCCAGGTAGAGATTATTAATAGTATGATATTATGGGATATGAGTTTAAGATCTGCTACGATTAGGTTAGGTTTGGGTAGTAGAGATCCTGTAGAAAGAGATTAAAAGAGAAGGAAAGGACCGTGCCAGGACATGATAGTATGGTCTAAGCAGCTGTAGGAAATACTGTGATGGTACAGATGCCATGTAATCTAGGCTCCAATAGTGATAACAGCTGTACATGTACTCGAGTACGGTGTAGTGGTCGAATGGTGGGTGGAGGGTGGGGGTGTGCATGGGGTATCACTCGTCTCATGGACAACAGGATTCTGGTGCGTGTGTGCTAAGGTTATGATAATAATCGCGCATAGTGGGTGGGTGTGGGCTGGGTCGGGTGACCTTATCCCAACGGGAGGACGGTCCTGCAGTTAAAACCCCCATCACGAATCGAAGAGGTGGAATCCCCGGTTCTCCTGATAACCTCCCATCACCGCAGGGTTCTCCTCATCCATCTATCAAAAACAGAGGAGATTGTGTACAGAGAATATCCACTGCACTTCCTCACAAAAAACAAATCATACTTCCAGCAATCCTATATCCCGGAGGTTTCCAACTTCAAGCTTCCTTTGCCCGAACGCCTTCCAGCACCAACAGTCCACACCGATCATACATGTTGTGGCCATACTGGCGTTTCCTGAGCCGTCAAAAAATCGGCCAGCACATTTATCTATGACGGAACCTCAAACTAACTGGAAGCGCCTTGATAGGATCACCATTTTAGTTTCTTTTCCGACGCTTGCTGAAGTCAAGGTAGATCCTGCATCTGGGTCCGTAAGCTGCCCTATCTCCTCCCCCAACCCATACCTCAACCACCCACAACACCAACAGCAACAGCGACCCCCTCCTCGAACCAACCCACCAGCAAACATCGCTAAAGTGGCCAAATACCCACCCAGAACACCGCGGGTCAGTCCACCACCCCATTTACGGAACTAACTCGTCAGGCGCCACACATATGCTCCTTGCTGGGGCTTCGTTCCCTCGTGGTGTACCGTCCTGCGCGCTCCCCCGCGATCTATAACGGACTGGAAGGACTAATACTCGTTGGAGTGTCCCGCCTTTCGAACAGAAATGCTTGCAATGGAATTTTTCCTATTTTTGTTTTTGACTTGATGTTATTGGGAATAATACTGTTACGGCAACTTTGACAATCTACAGTAAGAGCCAGTGACTAACTAGTATGAGAGGTGATAAATAGCACAGCAAATTATATGAAATATCGTTTGCTTCATATGGGCTCGATACCAGTAATCTCATACTTTATGTTGCATTGGGAGTTATTTGTAGACTGGGCTCCATAGGCTGACTTAGGGGTAGTTACGATTGTAGCTTGACCTGCTGTACGGTAGGTATGATACGACAGATAGCATCAACAATCTGTACAGGTAACAGGGCTAGACATAGCGGATTTCTATGGTAAAATATTCACTTCAAGAGCAGCATACCAAGGCGGTTGTGAATCTCGTGAATCCACAGATGGTCATAAATGGATCCAGTGGGAGGGAGAGTCGGGAAAGGAAAAGCGAAGTGGAGCCTCGGAGCGATATTCCCATCCAGAAGATCATTGGAAGTTTTGGGGAGGATATGGTAGATTAGATAATCTAGGCCTTGCGTAGAGCCCAGAACGCAACCCCCCCCCACAGGGCCCAACCCAAAATCCCAAAATTTCCATTTCATGCGCTTTCCGCCGCCGGCCACGGCGACTCGCAATACCAATAGGACAAAATCTGAGTGATAAACCCACTGAGTATGATATGATAGATTGATATCACAAATGAAACCACATCCCACCAAAGATATAAAGCAAGGAAACACTTTGATACAAATATTTGTTTGTTTTTGTTCTGATTTTGAACACACGGACGGATCCCGCCCAATCCCTTCCGCCAATCCCCTTTTTGGCCCACCGTATTTCTACCCTACTCTATAACCCAGCCCTCTGCTAATTCGTACCTCTTCAGTCATGACCATATGACGTCATAAGGCGCGTGCTATGTTGAAATGGAAATACCATAGGAAAAAACCTGGGGTTTTTTTTTTGATTGATTGTTTGATTTTTTTTTGTTTTCTGGTAGGATACTGGGCCATTGCTTTAATTGCTAGTTGGTACTCAGATCTTCAGTCCCAGGTCCCCAGCGTACGGCAGGAGATATGTGTCGCCAACAGCGACGAATGTGGCCTTTGAATCGAGGAGCTTCTTACCAACCTGTGCAAGCATCAAAGTTAGTTAGTTAGCAACAAGGATATAAAAGGGGTAACAAATCGCGGAGGACATACAGCCTTGACTGCCTCAACAGTAACACCATCGAGAGCCTTGACAACACCCTCAACCTGCGGTGCCTCTCCCCTAGCAATGACAGCCTGTCCAACGGCTTCTAGACCAGCACTCCTGTCTTCTGCGGCGGCAAGGACGTCGAACTTCGCGAGGGCAATGGCCCTCTTGACATCCTCGGGCTTGGCCTCTCCCAGACTCTTGATAGCGCTCACAACATTACCCCCGGCCTGAGTCACTGCAGATCCAGAGCCCTCGATGGTGATGTACAGGAGACCGGTGTCAGTGTATGCAACGTGCTTGGCGACGGCAGTGGTGTGAGGGGTCTCAGAAATTGCTTGGGACAAGAGTGACATTCCGGCGTTCCATTTGGTAGAGGCCTCTCCACCGAGTAGGTATGCCAGAACAGTATACTCTGCTTTGAAAGATGGAGGGCTGGAACTACCAGGGAAGGCAATGACTATGGCATTGCCGTGTGGCGAGAATAGGCGGTTCTCACCTCCGTAGTATTTAGCGGGAGCCATGACTGGTCCAGTTCCAGAGGGGAGTTCCTTGAAGAACTCGGCTGTCCACCTCTCAAGATCCAGTTGAGGAGCACCGGAGGCAACAACTGCGATATTGCCCTTGTTATACACCTCTTTAGAGTACTCGGTAATGCTCTTGCTGGTGAGGTATTTATTGGTCAGTGCTAAGCGGCTAGAGCCAAGTCCCTTGTGAAATGCGACGCTGTGCGCCGCCTCAAGAGCGAGAGCTGCTGGGGTATGGTGGAGTTTCTCGACCTCGAAGTTCAAAGTGGAGGCGACTTGTTCGTTAAACTCGTAGGCTGTTGATCCGACAGTCAGAACATATGCATAATAAATTGATAATCAGGTGCGAATTGGAAACAACAAATTGCATAAAGTAGGGCGGCGTACGATTGTATTTGGTATGGATGAGAACATCAGCAAGTGCCTCGACAAAGTATGGAAGATCTTCCCGGAGAAATTTCGCACGGAGAACAATATTTTCTCGGGAAAGCGTAGAACCAAGCGAACCACCGAGTAATTCGGTTTCCCTCTGAAGACGAAGGGCGGATCGCCTTGAGTTCTGTTAATTTATTTTGAAGAGTCAGTTTCATAAATTCGAGTACGAGTACATATAAGCTACGGCTGTGTTGGCTATCAAGATCAAACGGCTTGGATCATTGTACCTTGAATGCGAATTTTTCTAATCCGTGGGCCAATCCGGGAGAGGTCTCATATCGGCTTCCACCTCTCGAAACCACAGCTAAAGTAGTGGTTGGGCCACCATCATCTCTTGACGCAACCGTGATACCCGCTGATTTGCCGACCCTGTAGTGGAAGGGATTGGAAGCGGCAGTGGCGGCCAAGCCACGGTGAGAAGGAGCGGCTCTCGCAAGCAATTGGGATGGACCCCGGGAGAGGGTGCTGCGGGCAAGCATTTGTCGAAGAATACGGGGAGGGTGAGAGGAGTTTCTTAATGCTCGGTGAAGGAAATCGGATGGTGGAAGGCGGGCAGGCACCGTTGGGGTGGAAGGGATGAAGTTAAGAAACTCGAGAGAGATCTGAATCACGAGAAGGAAACGGGACGAATGAGAGCCACTGAATTGAAGATTTTCCCCGAAGTGGGGGGGGGTAAGTAGAATCCTTTGTCCAGGCGTAGTGTTCGGCACGTCCCAGGAAGACTTGGCATAACGGCGGCTGTCTTGCGGAGCCGCCCTTGCACTTCTCGAAAATTCGCGTTTAGCAAAAACTGTATGTTATGGGAAGGAAAAAAGTTGCCCTCTCCCACTACCTATACTCAGAAAAACAAATTCTATGCTCACCGACCCCTCTCCTCTATGACTCCTCACTATATCGGCCTATTTCACACTCCATAGCATCATTAACCCCCTCCATTCTTCAGCTCCCTTTCAACAACTGATGTCATGTCGCAGGTGACTATTCCATCCCCGATTCTCCTCATCAGAGCCTCTTCCCGTCCGCTGACTCTTAATTCTTGTAGAATGCAGCAGAGCTCTGCGTCCTTTTGGTCAGAGATATCTACGGCGAGGTCTCTTCGGTTTGTAATATCCTTAACATCTCATTCACAGTACTCCGGGCCCCACGATTGACTAACTAACCGTTGCTCTGACAGCGGGTGGTGTCTGTTCTTCTCGAGTTGGGTCGACTTTCTGTTACTCAACTAGTTCGCCAACTCAAACTTCCAGAGAAGATAGTCAAGCAAACCCTAGCGGTCCTCATTCAGCAGCATCTAGTCGTCCATTTTGCCCATCTCGAAACTGGGCAGGAGGTGGTGTATTACGAGTGTGAATGGACACAGGTTTATGAGCTCCTCCGCGCTGGTAGGATCATTCGGGCTGTTGAAGAACGGTTCGGTAGCAATGTATTTATCATACCACTCTAATGCACTATCCAAGACTGACGAATATTCTCTTCATCATAGGGCGCACTGATTGTCAGCAACCTGCTTCAATTGGGCCATGCTCGCGTCAGTGATTTCCTTGCTGCCTATGGGACATCTACCAAAAAGTCCAAAGCAACGGTGAATGGCAAACCGAACGCACCGACGATAGAAGATGACTCATCTATCACTTCAGTAGAAATCTTGAAATCAGTCATGGCGGACATGATGAAGGAACGGTTTCTGGTGCAGGTCCAGGAGCATCACATGCACATTCAAACAGATACCCGGAACACCTTGCGAGCACAATTGACATCTCAGTTGAGGAAGTCTCATCTCTCCGAGAATAAGTTGGGGAAGGAAGTAGACAGACAAATGAAAATTAAAGTGAAGGAACTAGCGGACGGCGATACTTCACAACACGCCGGTATGAAAAGAAAAGCTACTCCTACATCAAAACCGAGGTCGAAAAAACGTCAAAAGGTTTCAATCTATGACTTGATTGAGCAAGAAGAAGAGGAATGGGAAATCAATGTTCGTGGACCCGGTCAGGATATGAACTCAGAACATAAATACTAATTTGCTTTCTTTGGGCCCAATAGGAAAACATTGTTCTTCGAATAAATCACGAAAAGTTCTTAGTTCTGTTCCGAAATGCCGAACTAGTTTCTTTGGCTGAAAGTCGACACGGAAAGGTCAGCTCTCAGGTGTACGCCGAGCTTCTAAAACGGCTCGAAGAGAAATACCTTCGATGCCATGAGCCATATCCCGGTGGCGATGAAGAGGACGATACTAAAAAAGGTAAGTTATAAACATCCATGTCTATGAGAGTTACGACTTAAAGACTTGGTTCTAATATCTTGGTAGGAATCAAGCTAAGTGTTCTTGAGTTATCAAAAACGTTTAGCAAAGATATCGACTTGGAAAATTCGATTGTAACTGCCCCCCGGCTACCCAAAAAGAAAACGAGGAAACGAGGCTACTCGGATGATGAGGATGAAGACAAGCCCTGCCCCAATGGCTACGGGAAAAGGGTCAATGGGAAGGGCAAACGTCGACAAAGTAGTAGTGAGGATGACGACGATGATGATATTTCAGACACAGAGGAACTTTACGACGATGACGAGGAGGGAATTGACGCCGAGAATCGAAAAAAAAAAATTCGCATGGAATTACTAAAGCAGCACATGCAACTTCTCGCAGAAGACTCTTGGAAGTTTGTCCGATTAGAAAGTAACCGCGGTTTGGGTGAATGGAGCATCAATTACAAGGAGTTGGGTAAGCTCATGAGGCATATCGAACTGGAGAAAGTGGTAGAAGAGACATTTGGGGAAATGGGCTTGAGATTGCTCCGAATCATCAAGGATAAAGGGAAATTAGAGGAGAAACAGGTTCGTCTCATCCCATTCCTCGAAAATGGCAACTTGTTTCTAGCGCTCATGGGTCACTCCTAGATTGCTAGTATCGCACTCCTCAAGCAAAAAGAAATCCGCTCAATCCTCACAGGGCTTCAAGAAAGCGGCTACCTCCACCTCCAGGAAGTTCCCAAAACAAGCATCCCCCAGATATCACGGACATACTTCCTCTGGTTCCATGATCCAGACCGCGCGATCCAATCTCTTGTCACAGACACTTACAAGGCCATGTCGAGAGCCATCCAGCGCACAAACGTCGAACGAGCCAAGCGCGCTTCACTGCTGGAGAAATGGGAACGTTCTGATGTGCAGGCGAACGTGGAGGAATACCTTACCACGTCGGAGAAGCGCGAATTAGAGATTTGGTTATCGAGGGAGGAGAAGCTCCTGGGTCAATTGATGAGACTGGATAGAACGATGATGATATTGAGAGACTTTTAGATATGAAAGATTCCTTTTATTATAATTTCAATGGCGTTTGTGAGGAAGAGAAAAATCTGACTGACACGAGGAAGAGCGAGACATCGTTATGGGAGGGTAGGAGCAGTCGAGAAGGGGGGGGGTGGCTAATAGTGTCACTGTATTATATCGCACAGCTATGCTATTGTACTGCGTCCAAATAATACCAGTAATCATTCACCAAATAAAAGCTACTCACCGACCCGATAACCTTGAAGCCGCCCAAGTATGAGAAATTGTACCCGTCCAGTTATGGTAACCCTCACGTTCCCATCCAACACAATACCAAGAACCAGGAGTGCGTGGTCGAGAAACTCTAAAATGGCATACCGGTACTCGAGTACAGTACAGTACACACAATACACGAGCACAAGTACGGGTAACCCACTGATAAGGGACTTGAGCTTCATGTATAGCATCGGTATCATACTTTGTATCATATCATACCGGCCCATTCCCCGGATCCCCTCACCTCGCACCACCGCACCCAAGCCCGGAAACCAAAAACCTAAAAACCGAAACTTTTTTTTAAAAAAAAACTCTAAGCGAGTGGAGAGATATCAGGGTCGGTTAGTCCTACCTAGACCAATAACTCTAATCCGACAATATGCGGAGACTCTATCCCACCCAAGTTAATTTATCCATCCACCACAAATGCCCATCACAGGTGCTCAGGTACTCGTACCACCCCGCACTCGATCGATAAGAAAATCGAGCGAGTGAGAATCCATGTCCAACTCCATTCCCACCACCCCACAGCAACAGTTATGTGTGTGTGTGGGGGGGGGGGGTTAAGCAGAATTCGTTAAATTATATGTTCTCGTACACAATGCCTCAGCTCGCTGAGGTAAAAAAAAAAAAGGGGGGGGGGGAAGTGAGTACGATACAAGTATTTCCGACAAAGAGAACACAGTAAGATGGGTCAAGTGAATTTTCATATGGGCCCTAAGACATACACACGTGAAGAAAGGTTATGGGAGGAAGGAGGAAAAATGGTGGTGGTGGTAATTGAGGTATAATACTCTGAAATATCATAACTTTTTGTTGCTATACCTTTGCGCAGTACCGCACGAGTACAGTACAGTACAGTACAGTTCCAAAGTAGTTAGTGAGAAAAGAAAACGCGTGGGAAAAGAAAAAGTAAGCAAGGGAGCAAGCTATAATATCCAAGCGATAATACAAGTACAGTACAATAACACCCCTATTTTTCAGGCACGGTTGGAGTATTATATATCATGATAATTATCAGCCCAGGATATTAAGGACAGTTATGCATACAGCGCAGTACTGTAAGTAACCCTGCACAGCAGGGCAAGGCAGGGCAGGGGGCATTGTATCAAGTATATAGCACCGCGCATATATCACCCTCCAATCTTTCATATGACCCACTTACTTAGCATCCGGCGAGAGCCACCCGCAGATCATTTTTTTCTTTCTTTCTTTTTTCTTTTGTTATTATACGGTGAATACCATCATACGTCGAAATAAGAAGCGAGAGAGAGAGAGAGAGCGTGAAATAAATTCCCGGGCAGGAAAAAGGTGATACAAGTAATGGGGCAACTGCCGTGCTGAAAGTCAGTGAAGGAAGAAAGAAAGAAAGAAGGGACCTTGAAATCAACCACCGCTCACCAGCTATAAATCCCCCTACACGAGTACTCGTACAGTGACAGGACGGGATAATATAATATCGGCGGACTGTTTGTGTGTTACTCGTAATTGCCTGCTGCTGCCAATTCTGTCAAGTGTTGCAGAATGGGTGAAATGGGGGTTACGAGGTGGTGACCTCCGGTGGGTGGTGGTTAAGGTTGTTGTGAAGCTGAATTTCGAATTTGTTGAATCTGTTGAATTTGAGGTTGTTCCAGATCACTCGGTCATTCACTTGGTGGACTGGGGGTATAATGATGCTCGACAGACCAGGCATGCAATTTCCGTCCACTAACACGGCTATAAAAAATTAGAAAAGAAATGGTCAAGTGTCCCCTTTTCCACCACTACCCCATCTATTTATCTATACTTCTATTATTCGAGTACGGTACAATACGGGGAATGTTTTTCAATACGATGTTCCCAGCCCGTCCAAGCAAAGCAAATGGGATTATGATATATTTAAGATATACAAGAATTGATATATATGTATAAAGGAATTTCTCAGAAAGCCCTCTTTTGACGGGCAGGGGTCTCCGCCTCGTCCTTTTGCTCTTTCTCCCTGCCAGTGCACTATCAAAGGGTAGTTTTGGCCCGGGCCAATTGGAGAAAGAAAGAGAAAAGAGAAAACCACCCAAACTCCATCCCCTACTAGCGGGAACTGGCCAACCACGTCAACGTCGCGACCTAAGAGGGAGGCGGAACATTCTCCACAAACTGTCCGATAACGTTTCCGGTATCGTAGTTGCAAGTGAGGAATTTACCGGGTGTCCCATTGGCTCCATTGCATTCCTTGATACCACAGCCCATCTTCTTGGCGTTCTTCCAGACCATCTGCGTGAAGTGACCGGTTGCGGACTATATATACATCCATCGTTAGCATCTCTCATTATATCATAAAATGTGGGGTGGGACACATACGCTGAATTGACCAGCGGAATAATTGTACTGGCTCTGCTCATCGTACCACGCCTGAATAGCAGCTGCGGGACTGGTGTACCCAGCAGCGAGGTTCTCGCCATAGGGACCACCAGAGTGCTTGAACTGGCAGGTGCCAGAAACGCCCGAAGCGAAATCAGCCAGGGTCGAGTCATAGACTAGCGCTGGGACACCATGGAGGGCTCGCTTGCTATTGTGCGCTGATAGGCACTCGTCTTCGAAGGAGCCTGAGGCCAGGGCAGAAGGAGCAGTTGGCGCAGGAGCAGCAGATGAAGTAGTTGGCTTTGCTGGTGGGGTGGTGACGACTACAGCTTCCAACGTGGTTGATGGAATGGAAGTGGGAGTGGGAGTGGGAGAAGTGACGACCGGTGGTGATGGTGGCGTCGTCTCCGGCACTGAGCTCGGGGAGGCGGGACGGGGACGGCGGGACTTGGTAAAGGTGTAGTATTTGGTGTATTCGTGCGCTGGGCCTGGCGCGTTGTTGCCATTTACTTGGACAGGGTCAACAGGTGTCGGTGATGGTGAGGGCCCTGCGGTCACATATTGTGTCGTACTATATCCAATTGATCTCAAGTCAGTCATTGATATCCCATGATTGACGGGAAAGAAAGGAACTATCGGGTGTGAGCATACAGAACGGTAGTACATTCGGTGACAACCTCAACAGCTTCATCCCTTTTCTGGTTGCCGCCACGGAACGGGAATGCAATTGCACTAGCTGCGAAAGCAGCGGAAATAATTGTGGTATAAGCAACACGCATTTTGAGATTATTAGGCACAGCCTTGAAAAGGTATATATATATATATATATATATATAAAGTGGAAGGTTTGTCGTGAGGTTGCTCCTGACAAAGTTGGGATTGACGGCAAGCAGTCGTAAATAGTAAAATCGGTATCCTCTTATTATTGAAACTGTTGGCGATAAAAGCTCAGCCTTTATAAGAGGTCGTAGGAGAATGCTCGACTTGAAACCCAATATTCAGCCCTTGAAAAAAGCTGTTGGTTTTGTTGAAAGGGAAATGTGGTGTATAAGAAAAAGAAAGTTTGAGGGAAAAAATAGACTGGAGAGTGTAAAGTGTACGGGTAAAGACCGACTGGTAACCTTGAAGCAACTTAAAGAGTGATCGCGTTCGAGGTCACGAGAATAGTAGGACAAAAACGAGTTCAACGTTTGCCGCGGTGAATAGAAAGGAAGTGTTCGGAAGGAGAGGGGGGGTGGTGGATGCGATATATAGAATTCAGGCGGTTGGTGAGACTCCCCATGTCATGATGAGGGTTATAAACTGGTAGGACAGGGTGGATTGCCGGACCGGCCGGGCCAGAGCGTGGAAGATTGGGCACGGGGTTACCATAATTTGTTCTTTTTGCTGTCCAACAGTGGAGACTGGGTTTGACTGGGACCACTACCCTCGAAAGAGCAGACTTCCTCGCCCACGGGCGGGTTCCCTTTCCACGCTGGGTGGGAAAGGGAGGTGAGAGAGAGAGAGAAGGGAATGGTGGCTACAGTAAAGTGTTGTTTGAAGGGGTTTTCCATTTCAGGGATCCAGGAGTGTAGAACCGCCCTCATGGACTCAACCTGCATTGTTCGATTGGTGTGTGTGAGCCCGAGCGTTTCCCCCAATGCTTGTCACGAAACAGCGATTAGATAAAGGAGGGAAGACATTTCAAGAGCACGGTACCGCCCGCACAATACAGTACCAGAACGAGTACTGTACTCGTACAGTACAAGCACTTGTGGAAGTGACTAATGTGCACTATTTTGAAGGGTAGCTGTGCTATTACCGTAAATGTATGTCTTGTGTATCCTATTAAATGTGTGTCTTGTGTATCCAACTCGTGCCAAATTTGCTAGCGATGGCAGCGCGCGAAAAGGCGCCAGAAAAGGTCCTCTAAAGTTATTAGCCGACTACAGTACGAGTACTGGTACAATACAAGTACTAGTACAGTGGTAGCACTCGAGTATTCTATTTTGAAAGCTACTCGTAGAATCAACTACCGGCACTACTCGAGTACTGTACCTTCCGAGTGGAATAAGAGTACTAGTACTGTACTGTACACGTACAGGTGAGCCAAACAATCTTGAATCTGAGAACAGCCAAAGAGACAAAGAAGTGTGAACCGGCTCCTTTTGCCCCCCATCTAAACATCATGCATTCATATTTTCACATTCTTGTAGAAACTCAAAAGTGCCCTTGCTACTCACTCAGTGCTGCTCGACTGGATCCTAGGCCCTGATCCTGGTGGCGCGATACTCGAGATTGGCCAGGCTTGGCTGTCAGATCCTGTAACTTGTGCTACCCCTATAAGGAAGTGCACCAGGTACTGAACTCGTACTTGCACCAATCATCCTGTGCTCGTACCTGACAATCCTGATCCAGCCTAGGGTATTACAGGTATACCCGTGCCGGCACTTGAGCACTCGAGAGCGCCAGTACTCGAGTACTCGTAGTGAGTGACAAGAACGCCCCCCCCCTTCTCAACACCATGCTTCCGAATCCCCCTTCTCCAGCCAGACCCGCTTTCACAGTGGCCGTGTGCATCACGAGGTTGCTGAATAATAACGTAGACATATCGAACGACTGCTGTGCTAGAGCGTACTGTACTAGCGGCGACCTGCCACCAAATCCCCGCATCCCATCCCACTCACCCACCCTTCATCCCGTATCACATCGAACATTCTTGGACCCATTGCCTCTTCACTTTCCTCCCTTCCCACTAAGATCCATCATCATCATTATTGGAAAGCTTTATCCACCCCCTCCACCTTAACTCAATCCAAAAGGGCGGGAACAAAATTTAACAATCCAATCCATAACCCGGTATGACACCTCCCACTCTCCATCCCCGCCCCAAAACTCCGTCCAACGATCCTGCCACCCTGACCCGAAATTCGCTTTGTACCACCATGGCCACGGCCACGACAGCAGCAACGACAACAAAGAGCGGAAGATATGGTAATGTCCGGGTACCATACTTGCATAGTATGGTAGAAGTACCGTACTGTGCTCTGTACTAGTACTTGTATAATGAATGAATAAATAAGAAACAACAGGATAGCATTACGAGTGCAGTCCAACGACTGCTTACGAGGCCACCTAAATCTCCCCCCTACCGCACCTCCCGAGTACTCGTACTTTGCCCCCAGCACGATACTGACTGTGCCAGTACGAGTACTCGAGCACAAGTGCAGCAGGGAGAATACGTACTCGAACGGTACTCTGGCCGATAGGAAAGATTGGCAGGAGAGGGGGGCTCAATTTGTTTGAAGCAGTTGTCATTTCCCGATTCCTGGGGGCCGGAAGAGTGCTATCTCTACCGCCCGTTCGCTTGCTCCCTGGGCTGAGAAAGGGCAGAGCTGGGGAATGAGTGCATGAAGATACGAGTTCTCCCTCCTCTCATTCCTTCTTCCCTCCCTCCCTTCCTTCCTTTCTGTGCCGTTCTTTACTCGAGTATATTGCGTCTCTTCCCTCACGCTAATCCGATTCGTACCCGTGGCTGTCTCCGTATCGTGGATCCGGATTACTTGCATGGTTGGCTACAAGTACCCAATCCGGCATCCCAAGCCAACTCTGGTTTGTTTCGATTCATTCCGTTCCCTTCTCCTATTATATTATATCATATTATTGTTATCATCATAATATTATTGAGAAGAAGGTCGTCGGTTTGTCTGTTCTCTAACTTGCTCAAAAAAAAAAAAAAAATCCCGACACCACGATAGGGGTCCGGATTAGTTCTCCCACTGTGAGAGAGGCAGGGTTCGTGGCTGAAAGAAGGAAAGTGGGCTACGGGAAATCGCATGAAAGGGGAAGAAAAAAGGAAAAAAAGGCTTTGAGAAATTCTAGCACTGACGACCCTTTCGAAATCGATGCTGTAACAATGTTCCCTTTCTCTTCTCTCTTTGATTGATGGTTCAGAATTCGGAAGGTTCCTTTCCTTCCTTCCCCCCGTCCCCCTTTCATGTTGGGGTGGGGAGGGGGAATGCTCGCGTCCAAAGGAACTGACCTTATGGCCGGGATTTTGAAACTTCTACCCGTACAAGTACTGTCGGTCCACCTGCTAGGCCTATGGTTATGGAGTTTGTTTGTACTTTTTGCCTTGAGAATGCTTCAGTATGCCGGTGCCAATGCCCATGGCGAGATATCAATACGAGAATAAGATTATTATTATTACCCGCCAAATTATGGCTCGGGAGTTGTGTGCGAGTACAAGTACGATATGCTACGGTGCAGGATGGTATCTTGATATATACAAGTACTAGTATGAGGACGGCACGGAGGTCTGTCCAGATATGCAGACCCTTCTCTGTGACTGAGGGCCCTAGTGGTGGTGTCAAGAGATTTGTCGTCGTCATCTCCTCTCTGGTTTGCCTCCTTCCTCCACATCCCCCCCTTTTGCAGTATGCAGTATGCTGTTCCACCTCTCGCTCAAAGTCCACCGCTTCACCTACGAAACGATGCCGGTGAAGACTAAGGCTGCGACTCCTACCATTCCCGTCCCCCCAACCAGATATGCTGTCTGCCTTCCGGCCCACCAGTACAGGGTGCCTGCATAACATCGGTATCAGTCATCAAAACGACGTGCCAATAACATCTTCAACGCGGGGTAGACTTACAAAACAAGATCGGACCAGTAGCTCTTCCAATCTGACCTATCAATTGGTTTTATGTTGATTAGCGCTATTCCGTCGAGAAGGAGCTGGGCGAAGAGAAGGAGAAACAAAACAAACTTACCAGCAGATCTAAAACTACCAAGTGCCCGTCCTCTATCCTTCTCACCCGTTTTGAAACTGACTAATGCGGTGAGGCTAGTCACTACACAGGCACTCGTTACCGCGAGGAATGCTGCGGCAACGTATAGCTGTGATTGGGTGTTGACTCTACTGAGAAGGAAGAAGCTGATACCAGCACTCGCTAGCCCGGTCTTTACAACTAAAATTGGTGGGTATTTCCTAACAAATGAGCCCTGGAGAGCTGAGGCCAGAAGGCCGACAAATCCGAGAAGCTTGCCAGAATCCGCGGAGGTGTAATTGAACAAGTCAAAGGTCATGAATGGTAGGGAGAACTCCATTCCGGAGAATATAAGGAGAAACAAGAAGTGTGTAAGGTTCAAGAGAAAGATGCTCGACCCCTCTGGTGATCCTTCTGACTTCTTTTTATCCCCAGTCCCCTTTCCAGACTTGTTCTCCCGCTCTGGTTGCTCAACCTTGCTGGGCTCTTCATTCAGAGGGCGGGTCTCCGGTAGCTTCCAGTACAAAAACGCCGTCTCTACTACCAAAAGTACCAACGAGAACACAGCTGCGGCTGCGAAAGGGTTCTCCAATGAGATTGTCTTGGAGGCAAGGAACGCTCCCAACAAAGGCCCAAAGGTAAAGGCAATTGAAAATGCAGCACCCACCAACGCCAGAGTTGCACCACGAGTTTCTGGGGTGGAGACGTCAGTGGCAATAGCAATAGCTAGCTGTACATTTCCCTCCGATAGACCACCAACTACACGAGAAGCCAGGAATGTCGGGAAATCAGTTGCGACGACCCAAAGTAGAACGGAGACTATGTTTCCAATCATGGAATACAATAGAGCTGTTCGGCGCCTGCGATTAAGTATGTAAACATTAGCATTATACACACCGCAAACGGTATTGAGGCCAGGATGGAGCAGTTTACCCATAGCGGTCGCTGAGAGCACCCAAGAATGGACTAGAGATTGCCTGAAGAAATGAAAATAAAGACCCGAGAGCCCCACCAAGCAGGACTACATCAAAACGGGAGGAGATTGGCCGGTGGAATGAAGCTTTGAAAGTATTTAGGGTCGCGAAAATAGACTCGAGAACTACATTATCAGGCTGCGCACGGTAGAAGGCGAGCAGTCTGGGGAATAAAGGTAAAATTAAAGTAAACGAAAGCTAAACATGTCAGTATAGAAGGTTCCTATCGATAAACAAGTCCAGCATGACACAGGGGGGAAGTGGGCCTACCAAATCGAATATTAATGAGATGAAGAGGATTTTGATGATCGACTTTGCGTACGCGGGTGTCGGCGGCGCCATAGCTAGAGCTGGAAAATCGAACGGCCTATGCAATGCAGGATAAGGGTGACAAGGTGAGGAAGTGCTCGAGTATGAAGAAATGAAATATCAGGCCGGCTGCAGAGAGGACAGGTGTGAGGAGTTCAGGTTGGATTTTTGAATGAGTAAGGAAAAAATAGAAGGGGTGTTTTCCAAAGCCCCTGTTTAGCCGCTCGTTTTGCATTGCATATCGTTCTGCTGGACTAGGCTGGTGAATGTTGTTGTGGCTTTCTTAGTAACAGCATCATAAGGGCTCACTCATTTTTGTCTCACTTGCCCTAGTTGGAACCTGAGGCTTAGAGCCACGTGATTTATTCAGATCTGATATATTATGATATCTTGAGTTGTCTAAAGCTAATCGATCTAATCGTATCGATATTAAACCGATAAGATCAAAAATTCGCCAGACCCGGGCAGCAGCCAACACGGTGGGCAACCTAAAGATTCCCCACTATGATACCTCGGCTGTTTCCCGGTGTCAGAAGTGAAGCTCTCACCCGCGGGCCCATAATCACGTTCTCCGGCCCCCCATCACCACATGTTCTCCCGCTTATCTTTGTGCCCGTTGTTCCTGCTTTTATTTCAAATCCCTTCTCCCAAGTTCTATTGTGTCTCTCAAACCTTTCAAAACAGACAACTTACTACGCAGAATATAGAAGAAATGTCTTCTGCTCAGAGCGATAATGTACGATCCCCCCCCACTTGCCCCACGTGAAACAACAGACTCTAATGTTTCTATAGGTTCTTCATGCCATTGCTGGCGCTGGTAAGGGTTGTCGTTTTCGCGGCGCAGCAAACGACTAATACGACTCGATGTAGGCGGTGGAGTTCTGTCCATGGTTTTGACTTACCCATTAATCACGCTCTCGACCCGCTCACAAGTTGAGTCTAAACGCGCACACTCTACCGTCCTAGACGCTACCCGTCGCATTATCCAACGCGAGGGAATTTCAGGTCTATACGCTGGTCTTGATAGTGCCGTTTTTGGGATCAGTGTTACGAACTTTGTCTACTATTACTGTTTGTCTCGCCGCACAACCACTCACCCGAAATTTCCACTAATTTTACGGCGCAGGGTACGAATGGAGTAGGACCGCCTTCGAAAAAGCTGCTCTCAAGGCCGGAAGGTCTAGAGCTAAGCTCACGACTTTGGAGTCGATGGCTGCTGGAGCGCTTGCGGGTACCACCCCTTCGTTACCGGTTACCTCCGCCGATAAATTAACAAAGTCTAGGTTCCGCAACGGTCTTGATCACAAACCCCATCTGGGTAGTGAATACCCGTATGACTGCTCGTAAGCGCGCCGCCGCCCCGTCCTCCTCGTCTAGCAGTCTACCTACCCTCCAAGACCCCACCGGTCAAGCACCTGCCAAAGCCCCCTCCACTATCTCCACTATCCGTCAACTTTTCCGTGAAGGAGGGGTTGGTCAGTTCTTTGCGGGGGTAATTCCCGCGTTGGTGTTGGTCGTCAATCCCATCCTGCAATACACTATTTTCGAGCAATTGAAGAATATGCTCGAGAGACGTAAGAAGCGATCTGTTACACCTCAGGATGCTTTCTTCTTGGGCGCGTTGGGGAAATTGGTTGCTACCGCCTTGACCTACCCTTACAGTAAGTCCCATAGCCCGTAAAGATGTGATGGGCTGGGCACTAACGATGGGATAGTCACCGTTAAGTCTAGAATGCATGTGGCAGATAAGGGCGAGAAGAAGCACTCCGTGTTTGAGTCGCTTCGAAATATCGTCAACGAGGAGGGTTGGACCGGTCTTTACGGTGGTATTGGGCCGAAGCTCGTCCAGAGTGTTCTCACCGCGGCGTTCCTGTTCGCGTTCAAGGATGCACTTTACGCATTCACCGCCACCACCCTTGCCAATAGGAGGGCTGCTGCTAAGCTCAAGGCTGCTTAAGGGAGGGGACTTAGAATGATACCAATACCAATACTTTTTCTTTTTCCTCCTTCTTTCCGTAGACGAGTGAGAGTGTGTGATCACATCACAGGGGCCGAATACGAATTGGGGCATGCGCGGCGTCTGTATCGTACGTTGAGGAGCTGGGGTGTCACAACGTGCCATTCCAAGGGACTTCCTCCTCCTCTTTGTCGCTGTATAAATTATCTCCTTTATGTTGTACTTGTATGTTGAAATACGGTAGAACCAACTCAACTCGTGCGTCCCGCTGATCCTGATCTTCGTGAACCCTGAAAAGAGTGCATGGGAGGGCTAGGGTTAGTAAGTACTGTGCTCGAGTACTGTACAGGTGCCTTATTACCGGTATTATGATAGTATTATGATACTATCGTACCGGTACCTTTATTACCCCGCTCACAATTACCACAATCCAATCCCGACCAGCAAAATACCGGCTGTCTCTCATACTCGAAGCACGCCTGGGGTGTAAATTATCATACAGTAGTAACACCAATAATTACGTGTACTGTACCCATCTTATTCATACCCTCCCACGCTTGACACCCACGTTACACGAGCCCCTCCCTATCCATCCCTTTACAAGTAGATATCCATCATCACCCAATGATGGGATGAGATGCGAGCGATGGAATTAAAAAATTTTCTTCTTCTACCGGGTGTGGATCCTGAAGTCGGTGGCCGGCTTACTCGAGTACAACATATGTAGGCTGGAGCACTTGGGGTACTTTTGAGAGTGCAATTGTTGTATCTTCAAGCCAATATTGATTGATTCCAACCGAGACTCAGCCGCTTCGCTGGACTCTGGCTTGATTTTTCAGCACGGGGTAGCGGTATCGCACAAGCTGTAATTTGATGTCCTGCACCGCACATTACTCGTACGAGTACAGTATCGTTGTTGATAGTGATTGTGTTGTCTGATTGATCCATCTACTTGTACTACTGGTATGATAACTGTTCTGGAGAGTACCGGTATGATACAGTAACTGGGCTTGCACTTTCCCCCCCCCCCCCACCTTGCTTGACCTTACTTTGCTCTGCTTTACTTTTTTCTTTCTGACTCCTTCTTTCTTTGGGGTTCGAGTCTTAATGTAGGGGACTAGTGTTGTGTTCAGGCAGAAATTCCTCCTTTCCCCCAGTATCATACTGTACCTATCATACTGTACCCATCCATACCGGTACTTCCACCCCCCCCCCTCACACCCCTTTTTGTATTTGTGCTGGATTTCATCCGAAGAGCAAATTCAACCTTACGGCTACTAGTGCTATTATTGTATCATACTAACCGACTTCTTTGTCTGAAGCCCACCCCCGCCCTATCCCTTCTCTCCCCCGGATCATCTGCTGTAGAGTCCCAGGCTTACTGTACAGTAACTTACCCTGGAGGGCATCTCCTATTTCGTTGCATCCGGGTGGAGCTTATCGTTATCGCGCCCGCCCTCCGTCTTTTTTTTCTTGTTTCGCTACCACCTCTTCCGTCTTCATTTATTGGAGTTATCGTGCCGTATCTCGAGTACTCGTACAGTACAGTATCCCTTATCGCCCTACCTTTAAGCCTCACTTCCTCCCTCTCTCCCTCTTTAGGGAACTAAAGAGCCTCATACAAACGTTTGTCGCCTGATCGTACGCCTTTTATTTGAACCTTTTTTCCTGGGGAATAAAATAAATCATGGCTTCCAAGGGCGTCGTGAAGCCGGTGGCTTTACCAACCCCGATATCTGCCTCGTCGGGGGGTAAAGCTACCTCTTCTGTTGTTGGTAAGGGTGGTGGGGCCGGGGGTGGGAGTGCGGAGAGTGAGGCTTCGGAAGAAGCTTCTGGAGCTAAGGATAAGTTGGAATTGAAACCTAATCAGCTATTGAAGAGTCAGAGTCCTTATGTAGGTTTGGAATTTTCCCTTTCCCCTATTTTCTTGCCCTTGATATTGTTGGTGTTTGAAGGGGGGGGAGGGAAGGGATGGAAGGGGGCTGATTTTGTGTGGCGAGTTTATTAGGTTCGTGGACATGCGTATAATCCAGTTCGGTGGCAGCTGTGGAATGAGGAGACGCTGGAGCTTGCGAAGAAGAATAACAGGATTGTGTTTGTTAGTATTGGGTATGCGGCTTGTCATTGTGAGTACACGATCGTGTTCTGGAGGGCCGGGGTGTTTGCTCCGGTAGTTAACGAACTTTGACGATTAGGGTGTCATGTAAGTCGAGTCGCACCGTTCAATCCGGATTACCCAGAGGGGCTGTATCTTCGCGGGGAGTGGATCGTCTTATTAACTGCCTTCTTGCTTTCGTGTTAGGTTATGGAACGTGAGAGCTTTGAAAACGAAGAGATCGCTAGGATTTTGAACGAGAACTTTATCCCCATAAAGATCGACAGGTACCAATTCTTACCATCTCGTAGGGCTGACAAAGTCTAACATTGCTTGGTAGAGAGGAGAGGCCGGATATCGACCGTATCTATATGAACTTTGTGAGTTTAAGTAATTGTCCAAAGGGTTGGGCTTTGTTGACCTAGACCCAGGTACAAGCAACGACAGGATCAGGGTTAGACCACTATGAAAACCCCGTTTTATCGCTGGTCTGACGTATTTTCTAGTGGTTGGCCGCTCAATGTCTTCCTCACCCCAGATCTCCAACCGGTGTTCGGTGGGACTTATTGGCCAGGCCCAAGTGCGGTCGGCGGGATGAAAGATCAGCTTGGGTTTCTGGAAGTGCTTAGGAAGATTGCAAACGTATGGAAGGAACAACACGAACGATGCGTAGCATCTGCATCCGATATCCTGAACCAATTGAAAGAATTCACAGACGAAGGGCTTAAAGGAACGGGGGGTGAGCCGGGCGATGGGTTAGAGTTGGACTTGCTTGAGGAAGCCTACCAGCACTTTATGGCTCGCTATGACCCGCTGTATGGTGGGTTTGGAAGTAGGTTTCTCTATCTAGTCTGCTGAATTTGATGTTAAAGACTGGAATTTAGACGCGCCCAAGTTCCCTACTCCTGTTAACCTGGCCTTCTTGTTGCGTCTGGGAACCTTCCCTGCGACTGTTCAAGATATTGTGGGCGAAATGGAATGTGAGAATGCAAAGTCGATGGTCATTGATACGCTTCAAGTAGTCTATACCTTCCCTTCTTTTAGGAGACTTTCAAGATGCTAAAATATTCTTCAATTCACGTAGGGCATGGCGAAAGGTGGAATACATGATCATATAGGCCACGGGTTTTCTCGGTACTCAGTTACTGCAAATTGGAACTTGCCCCACTTTGAGAAAATGCTCTACGACCAGGCGCAGCTTCTCAGCATTTATATCGATGCTTGGCTGGTAACAAAGTCGCCGGCAATGCTCGAGGCGGCGAATGATATCGCAGAGTATATGTGTTTGGATGCGTTAAAGAGCCCGGATGGTGCTTTCTATTCGTCAGAGGATGCGGACTCACTTTATAGAAAGGCGGATACTGAGAAACGAGGTTTGTGCTCCCACATAGCTTTCTACATAAATATCTGACAAGTTATGAAGAAGGGGCATTTTATGTCTGGACAAGAAAAGAATTTGATGTTATGCTTGGAGAACAGGATGCGTCGATTTGCGCCAGGTATTGGAATGTGCACAGAGACGGCAATGTAGATCCAGCCAATGACCCACACGACGAATTTATTGCACAGGTGGGCTTATGTTTCGGTGGAGTGTTGAAGAATATGAACTGACAGGTCCCTTTAGAATGTGCTATCTGTCGCTTCAACGCCCGAGAAGTTGAGCAAAATGTATGGCATGAGTGCTGAGAGAATCACCAACATTATCAGTTCTGCTCGCCAAAAGCTCCTTCAGCATCGTTTGAAGGAAAGACCTCGACCAAACCTCGATGACAAGATTGTTACTAGTTGGAACGGGTTAGCAATCGCCGCGTTGGCTAAAGCTGCTGGGGTGCTAGAGTCCACAGATCCGCGTAGAGCTCAATTGTATAAAAAGAATGCAGAGGAGGCAATATCTTTTATCCGGAAGAATTTGTATGATGAGAAGACAGGAATTTTGAAGAGAGTTTATAGGGATGGTCCAGGGGAAGCTGACGGGTTTGCTGATGATTACGCATTCTTGATATCCGGTTTGCTGTGCATGTGAGCGCTCCTTGCAGGTTATTTATTTGGTCTTTCTGACATGATTATATAATAGGTATGAGGCGACATTCGATGTGGAGTATTTGCAATGGGCGGATGCCTTGCAGCAGAAGCAGATCGATGCCTTCTGGGATGCGGAGAATGGGGGATTCTTTTCAACCTCTGAAGGGGCATCCGACTTGATCTTGAGGTTGAAAGACGGTGGGCTTTGAGTCAATGTTTTACTGCGAGCCATTGTTGATGATTGTCTAGGTCTTGACTCACAAGAACCCTCAACAAACGGAGTATCCGCAAACAACTTGTTCCGACTGGGAACCCTACTCGGCGATCCAAAATTAGAGGAATACGCCCAGCAAACATGCTCCGCATTTTCAACCGAATTACTCCAACATCCGTTCTTGTTTTCCTCTCTCATGCCCGCCATTGTGGCGTCAAACTTGGGGATGCGCTCAGTCGTACTTGCTGGGGACCCTAAGGACCCCACTATAGAAAAACACCTCAAGAGACTTCGGTCAAAGCTTCTCACTAACACTACGCTTGTGCAGCTCGATCCGGCCAGGGGGGACTCGTTGGATTGGTTGCTGAGCAGAAATAAGCTCCACAAGGAACTGTTAAATGTTGCCGCCAAAGGCAGCGGAAAACCAGTTGTTCAAGTATGCGAGGGGACGAAATGCCTGGATGCCTTTGACATGGGTGATATTGAGAGTGTGCTTGAGGAATTGGGTTAAACTTATTACTTTTTTAACTTTTTTTTATTCACCTTCACCACCTATATCTTCTGCTTCAACAAGGGCAGTCCCTTGCTAAATTCCCTAAATTATGGTTGAAACGCTTAATGCTTTACTCTTATCGCTTGTTTGCGGGGCCTTTTCTTTTTTTTCTCTCCTATCTTGTTCCGGCTTCTTGTTGGGTTAGTGAAATGGTGTTAGGGTAGGGGAGGGGTAGGAGCCACTCTTATGGCGCTTGAGTTCATTTACAATATCTACCAATTCATGATGTGAGATGATGGGCTGGTGCTCCAAGTATTGTGGGTTAGGCTAGTTTACTGCGTAATTGAAGCAATCCATTTTCATTGGAACCTAATAGCTCCTACCCTGTGGAGCAAAATGTCGGTATGTGTGGTGTGCTATGTAACTTATTGGCAATGGCAAGACGGAGCAACGGCTCGATCGAAGATCAGTCAAGGTTTGCTTCCAGAATCTGGCGGTGAAATGGTGATCAGCATCACTGACAATAGATAAGGGGTACCCATGAGGGGTAAATAGGTCTGCTTGGAGGTTATTCCAGCATGCCCAAG